CTGTGTAGTACTATAGTCTGGCGAAAGATAATTCCTTTTGGCTTCCTTGTTCATCTTAGTTGACACAATCGAGTCAATACAGGGGCGTTAACGTAGTGAATTCTTCTGCACTTCGCCGCGTACCCCTGGTTGACTAACGCGGCGATCAGCGGCGGTTAATAAGGACATAATGCGGCGGGTAAAAAGTGTGATACAGAAGTTCCGTGCTCTGCACAGTGTTCTCAATTCTGAACACCCATCCAATCCTCATGCTTGTATCCACAGACACGAAGAAAGTAGGATTGGAAGATGCGGCATCACCGCACACTGACGCGTTTTCGAGCACTTCAGGCAGACATATCTGGGCCCCTTGTTAGGTATATCTTTACTTGGTGAATGGCTACCCTAAGAGGGGGCTCCCTATAGGGGGGCTCCCAGATGGCTGGGAGCTCCCAGCATCTGGGGCGGTGAAACGGTGACGCGGACGTAGGGCTATACGCAGTGTCCTAGCACACACACTAACACCCTAGGGTACTAGATATATACTAACACACTACACACAACTCACACACTCCACTTAGCAATGTGTCTCGGTTCCGGTCCGTAGTATGCGGACAGCAGAGCTCAGAATCACAATGTTAGACAGAACTATCTCCGCACACTATCCTGAGCACACCAACACCTTGTGAAAGCTTTGGACCTGGTCCTAGGCTAACGTGGGGATGAGATGAACTGCCTTTGTGCGATGTTTTACAGGACTTATATACTGTACAGAGAAGTAGATACTAAACAGAAACAAATAGACTGAATCGGGGTTCTTGGTCATGCTGCAGCCACGGAAACGGATGCTGCGTCGAGTCGTCATTATAGATGCCGCCTAAAATCCCATTTGGGAGATCGGCGCACCATATAGGGTATATTGGAAATGTCCTAGCTGTGCCGTCTGCACCCGCAAGTACGAATCCTGCCGGCTAGGGGTCTAGACTCGGCCTAGAGTTGTTCCTGTCCATGTGCATGCCTATTAGGATCCACCCGTATGCCGCTAGTGATCGTCATCTTCGGCATGGGTGACGGTGCGTTCCGTTCGACGTACACCTAGGGGTATTTGGTTTGGTTTGTGAGTCGCGACCGCGTCGCGCACATCACGTGTGTCCCTCGGACGTTGCCTGACTACTGTCATGTGCTTTCCCTCGGAAGCGTTCCTAGGAGCTTTCGCTAGTAGGCCCGTCAAGCTATATCCATCCTTGAGTCCTAGCCGCCTATAGATGGCTTTTACTAGTTGTCAAAGAACATATCCGCCGCTCCTAGGTCTCAGCGCAATATCCCTCTTTGCTGTCTATGTAGTTGTTGGTCCTTTTAGTAGCGAGAATGTTGCTAGGGCAGGACTAGGCAGTGTATATATCTCCTTAGTGCGTGTACCTGGCTTGCGCCAGTAATACTACAAGCAGTCGTTCGGAGCTCACTCTGGTCCTCCTTTGTATCACTGAACAGAGGTACTAGGGCTGTCCATAGTCCACTAGTAATGCATCTGCCCGTCCTAGCAATCCTATAAGAACTGCTACAAACCGCAAAAATGCACGATGGAAGGCCCTATGTAGTTTTGGGCCGTCTCAGCGGGTGTACCCAGCCAGTTGTGCCTGGGTGCTCCCAGTGGGCTGGGAGCATCCAGATGTGTCATGTCACGCTTTTCTGCGCGCAGTGCGGGCTGGAAAAAAATCGCATTTTTGGCACCTGGTGCTGCCTGCTGGTTGGCCCTGTGCCATGGCTATAGCTACGCGCGGGACCGAAAAAATCGGGTATTTAGCGCTGACAGGGTGGTATTCAGCAGGGTATGAATTGGGGACCCCGCGTGCAGCGTGGGCTGGAAATTTTTGGTTTTTTTCTGGTCCGTTTGCTGCCTCCCACAGTACATCTACTCCGGACATGTCTCATTACCCATTTGATACTACGCAGTAGTGCCTGCAAGCTCACCAGATAAATTTTTGCTTTTTATGTGCTGATATGCTCTTGGATACCTTGCACAACCAGTTATTTACCTTATCTATACGCTGCTCTCAAATCTTCTCTGCAATACTTGTGTTGCATCAATTCCAACCAACATATGTACATGGCCATAAAAATTTGGCTTTTCAGTACAGGCTGTTGTATGGCTTGCACAACCACTTAGTCGCCTTTGCGCATGCCGCCTAGTAGGCTGTGCATTCCTTCTAATGGCCTTTGCAATTTCTGTATTCCATCATACTTCAACACCACACTGATATGGTGCGTAAAGGTTTACTGTCCGGCTCCTAATTTCTCCACAGTTTCAGCTACATTTAACATGCTGGTTGCTCCCATATCGACATCTGGGAGCATCCGGATACTCAGTGGGAGCACCAATCAATGCAGTTGTGGGAGCACCCTTTTCCACCCTGGGAGCACCCTCTTCACCAGGTGTGGGAGCTCCCACCCACCCTGGGAGCATCCTGATCACCGCACCCGGGTGCTCCCGGCATTCCTGGGAGCATCCTGCCCTCCACACCTGGGAGCACCCAGTCATGACACTGGGAGCACCCAGTTATGACCCCGGGTGCTCCCATCACATGCCTCATTTTGGGCTGGGTGCTCCCAGCCTCTTCCATATGTGGCTGGGCACACCCAGCTATATTTCTATTTTGGCTGGGTGCACCCACACATTCCCATATATTTGCTGGGTGCACCCAGATATATTTGTATATTGGCTGGGTGCACCCATGCATATTTATGTATTAAATGGGTGCACCCAGCCTTAGCTGGGAGATCCCACCCAGATTTACACTTTTTATTTTATTTTTATCAGGCTCTGATTTATTTTTTCACCCAAAGTCCCAAACAAGTGGGTACTTATATTAATGTTGTGTACCTACATCTAATTACAATTGAACACCGTTTGTCTCGAGTCAAACCGGTCCGATAGTCCGAATGACGAATTGCTCCACAACTTGCTGTGACGTTGAATTGGTGCATTCGGCTCCACTGCGATGTTGAAACAAATCCTGGGTTCAGAAGATAAGTTACCGGTGGATGTAAGACTGGTTGATGGAGGAGACAAAGGCAGATTTAGCACACCTTTGAGGTCCAAAGAATGCTCCCGAATGAGGGCATCTGTATTACATGCCGTCAACTGCCGTCAACGACTCCACTGAACCGTCGAGATGTCGCACTGAAAACTGTTGAGATGTTGAGTTATCAGCCAACATTCCACTTAACTGTTAGATTGATATTTATAAACTGTTGAGATCTTGAATCCTTGCAACGTTGGGCGCAACTTGAGTGCAACTATGTAACTACCTCACCTGGGCACTGATAAGTATGAGTATTGAATGGAGTCCCCGGCAACGTAGGTCATTTCATGCCGGGGACTTGAGTTCTTGCATGAATTAAGTAAGATCACATTGGTTCAGTGGAGTCATGCCATTGAATGCAGAGCTGTTGCACATGAGAGAAAATGACACTGAGGAATTCCAAACCTTGTGAGAAAGAGCTAGGCTTTTGAAATGATTTCGATATTACGGCACACTTAGAGGAGAGGGCCACAGAATGGAGGCTCGGCGACTGGGTGAAGGCAATTTTGACAGAGACAATGAATTGTGAATCACGAAAGAAAGATTGGATTTTGAATTTAGAAGGATTAAATGCCAATCAATTCAGGATGAAGGCCCGGCAAATGTAGCCTCTGAACATTCAAAATTTGCGTCAAGAATTCAAATATGGAGGGACATAGCCGCCGCAAGGCAGACAAAAAGTAAATTAGGTTGAAACAGAGACAACATTTACATGAGGCAGAGTTTCTGCTGTAATTGGATTATTGAAGCAAAATGTGTTTGAAAAAATTCAACCATCGAGACAGGGAGGAGAGAGTGGTTTGTGATCTCACGCTGTGGACATCTTTTTAGTTAAGCATTGATATATAGTACAAATGCAGTAGCTTACCCTGAGAGGTTTCATTGAATATTGTGAATTGGTTATTCTCACAGATAAATATCCAGGGCACTGTTTTCATACCAAGTATCTCTGTGTCAGAATATTTTGTGCCAGCCCAAGCAATTTTTTCCAGGACTATGCACAAGCTGCGAGAAGTCAACGAGACATGGGTCAATCGAACTGCTGATCTGTTATCACCGTGGCGTAGCACGGGTCACTGCTAGTACAAGAGATATACTACCATCACACATGTCATGGCTGCAGCAATAAAAAGTATGGCCCTTCCATTTTGGGAACTCTCCTGTTTGGGACCACTACCACCTGCATCCAAATCTGGCAGGTTTGAGATTAGATCAACTAGATTAATATCATCTTCAAAAGTAAAAAAGTGCGGTGACTCTACCGTGAGTTTTTCTTCAGGTTAGAAAAAAGACTAATGTACCAACTTGTATGGTAGCAACCATCCGAGGAGCGTTACCAAAAATTCAGGTTACGATGTAGCAAGCACTTACCTTATTTGGAACTGGAATTGCCTAAAAAGGGAATATGATGCCGCGCAGGGCCGAAATTTTGCTTAATCGGGCCCGAAAAGTTGAGAATTTGAGCGTTACGCAGCGATTTAGGCAACATTTTGAGGGCAGCGTTATGCGTTACGTTGCTACCATACAAGTCGGTACAGTATTGCCTAAATCAGCCAAGGCCATGCTGACAGCCAGTCGTTGCGCAACCGTATCTTATGACAGCCGAGTCTCGCGAGCAATTACGTGAGGAGAAGAAGGTGAAGGACAAGAAGGAGAAGGAGAGGAACGTGAAGGAACGTCTCATTGCGGAGAAAATTTTCAAGAATTATGCTTAGCACTGCAGCTTTGACTGGCTTGTTTTACTTACCCTTTGATTACCATCACGTTAACTTACTTGTTTTACTTACGTGCTATTAAAGGTGGAGTTGTTGGTTGATTTTACCTGTGTTGTGCGAACAGATTTCTCTAAGTGCATACCACTCGGAGTGTTTTTTTTTTTGTTGAAATGAGACACCACTGAAGTCGGGTTAGTGAACGTCTTCTAGAGTTCAGGAGATCGGTCTTGTAGCCGAATGGTAATGGCTTAAGCTTTAAGTCTGATGACGTAAGCTGATACCTCTGGGTTTGAATCCCAGCAAGACCTTGGACGGTTCTGCCTGAAGTTTTCATCATGAGCACGAAGAAAACTTCAGGTAGAGTCACCTCCCTTTTTCAAACTCGGCCATTCATTAATTCGATCTATGAAAATGGCGATCTAATCTCGTACCTGCCAGATTTGGACGCAGGCGGTAGTGGTCCCAAACGGGAAATCCCGTCTGACGTGGGAGACATTCCGAATTGGGTCGGGAGGAGTAGGAGTTCCCAAAATGGAAGGGCCATACTTTTTATTGCTGCAGCCATGACATGGGTGATGGTAGTATATCTCTTGTATGTAGGTACACAAAATTAATATAAGTACCCACTTGTTTGGGACTTTGAGTGAAAAAATAATCAGAGACTGATAAAAAAAAAACTAAGTGTAAATCTGGGTGGGAGCTCCCAGCTAGGCTGGGTGCACCCAGTTGATACATAAATATGCATGGGTCCAGCCAGCCAATATACAAATATATCTGGGTGCACCCAGCCAATATATGGATATGCATGGGTGCACCCAGCAAATATGCAAATATGCGTGGGTGCACCCAGCCAAAAGGGAAATATAGCTGGATGCACCCAGCCACGTATGGAAGAGGCTGGGAGCACCCAGCCCAAAATGAGGCATGTGGTGGGAGCACCTGGAGTCATAACTGGGTGCTCCCAGTGTCATGACCGGGTGCTCCCAGACGTGGACGGCAAGGTGCTCCCAGGGATGCTGGGAGCACCCGGGTGCGGTGATCAGGATGCTCCCAGGGTGGGTGGGAGCTCCCACACCTGGTGAAGAGGGTGCTCCCAGGGTGGGAATGGGTGCTCCCATAACAGCATTGGTGGGTGCTCCCACTGAGTATCTGGATGCTCCCAGATGTCAATGTGGGAGCACCCAGCATGTTAAATGTAGTTGAAACTGCAGATAAATTAGGAGCCGAACAGTAAACCTTTACGTACCATATCAGTGTGGTGTTGAAGTATGATGGAGTACAGAAATTGCAGAGGACATTAGAAGAAATGTTACAGCCCTATTAAGTAGCATGTGCAAAGGCGACTAGGTGGTTGTGCAAGCCATACAACAGCCTGTACTGAAAAGCAAAATTTTACCTGGTGAGCTTGCAGGCACTACTGTGTAGTATCAAATGGGTAATGAGACAAGTCCGGAGTAGATGTACTGTGGGAGGCAGCAAACGGACCTGAATAAAACCAAAAATTTCCAGCCCACGCTGCACATGGGGTCCCCAATTCATACCCTGCCAAATACCACCCTGTCAGCGCTAAATACCCGATTTTTCGGGCCCGCGTAAACTTGGACTCAAACCAATCTCATCAGAACCACCATCTGGTCAATACTTGACCAAAACACTTGAAATAAAGCATAATCTGGGTCAGTTACACTGTCTGTCTTCATTCCCGATGTTTATTTCGCACTAATTGGTCTCCTTGAGGCCCTATTTATGAAACAAGCAAAACATGACATTTGACAATTCTGAGGTTTATCACCATATATTGGCCTGCTTGTTGACTCAAAATTCGTCATATAGCTTAGGAATAGTAGGATAAGCCTTCCGAACATTAGCTATGACCCTGTGGCATGCTGAATATGATGAACAAGAATATACAATAAGATCACCTTAAATCATGGGGTATGGGGTGCTCAGGGTGTTAATTGTCTCATTTTCTAATACCTATAGATGAACCAATTCCAACAGATGTGTTTTGAGATATCTCACATCCTAGAGGAACCCATAATATGGCCAAAATGCAATTTCCTTGTAAGGCCAAACTAGGATGCCTTTGACTACCAGAACATAATATATTACCTGGAGGGTATCTCTGTAGCTTAAGGGAACAAGGTAGTCTATCCAGGAGCTATTTCTATTGGTCTATCCCCAAGATATTATGGCCAGGACACAATTTCTCAATATTCGCTTTTTTCACCCTATTACTGTACTGTATTGGGCTCTAATGTATCCCAGGTGGCTTCAAAGAACATAGAACAACATGCTTATAAGGTTAGACCATCCAAAATGGTTGAATTATGAGCCAGGGAAGGGCTGATGTTGAAAATTTCCTTTTTGGGACAAAAGCGTTAGTGTCCCAAAAGGGAAAGTCATCGGCCAAACCTCTGATGGCTCTACCAAAACTGTAGAGCTCATCAAGGGCTACAACAGTCATCTTTAGCATTATGCTCTTGGTAGCCCCATTGACCAGCCAAGGTTAATTCACACATGTTCACCAGAGCTTCACATAAACAGGGGGTGTCACTCATTCATTAAGGATAACAACCTTTAGTGTTAAGGATAAAAACAATAAACCTATGCATCTAAGAAGATCTGGCTGATTTTTGCCATCCACCATTGAGATACATGCATAATTGCCTTTTATGGAACATGGAGGTGAATATAGTTGATCCCATCAGTGGCTGTGTGTTAATTAATATAGGCCAAGGAGTGCCAAACTATATCACTGATCAAATAACATGATGCTAGTGCATATGTATCACCAAAGCTAGGCATCTAAATGAACCTGGGTGATTTTCACCATCCACCATTGAAATACAACTATAATTGCCTTTTTTGGAACATGGAGGTGAATATAGTTGATTCCATCAGTGGGTGTGCATCTATCAATAAGAGCCAAGGGTGCCACAGTATATGATTGATCAAAGTAAATTGGGAACCAATGTATTCAGCATTGTAGCACCAGCTGTGGCTTGGACTCTAAAAGGGGTTGTTGATACAAGTAAAGGTGGGATGTCCCTCACTACACAAATCAAAGTGGGACTTCCCACCATTGGGAAAATTACAAGTGGGACATCCCACGTCTGACAGAATAATAGTGGGATGTCCCTTGCCTGTAAGTGGGATGTCCCCCATGGAGAAGAATATGAGTGGGACATCCCACATCAGATCAGATAACAGTGGGATGTCCCTTGCCTGTAAATGGGATGTCCCCCATGGAGAAGAGTATGAGTGGGACATCCCACCTCAGATCAGATAACAGTGGGATGTCCCTTGGATCTGGGTGGGACTTCCCACCTTCAAAACCAGTCTCAGTGTTACATCTCACGTTGTATAAAATAATGATGGGACATCCCACTCTGAGCTGGATATTCCATGTCGACTGGTGGGATATCCCACTGGTCAGGGTTAAGACAACATGACATCACATAATGATCGGAATAATAGCAGGATACCCCACATTGTGCACATTAGTTTGAGATTGTCAGTAAGCAAAGACATAATCAGAGTCATCTCAAGGGCTACCTGAATTACTGCCAATGATCCAAGTCAATAGATCAATAGCTGCAAAAACACATCTTTTCTGTAGTGAAATGCTGTGGTTTCACCCACAGAAATCTGGCGCACATGGCATGGCATGGCATATGGATAGGGGTGATGGCCTATGATGAAACTGAATGAGTTATTAAGTATCATCCAATTCTGTGGAGGAATGGCTGCAAAAACCAGCTTTTCTGTTCCAAAATCCTGTGTTTCCACCCATAAATCTGCTGCTTGTGGCCTACCTTCAAGCCACATATACTGCCAAGCATCATGGAAAACTGTCTAGAAATGGCCCCAAAATGGTGCTTTTTTGGTGCAGCAAAATGGGAAGATGGGACATCCCACAGTTATTTTTCGGGCCCGCCTACGGCGGGTGGGATATCCCTCAAAAAAACAGGGTGGGACATCCCCCAGTGGTTTGGTGAAAAGTCCCTTCAAAGGTGGGAAGTCCCATGGGAAATGGGACCACCACTCAAACTGACCCCCCCTTAGGACGGTTATTCTCTACTAAAAATTAGGCCCATGGGGGGTCTGGGAGGGGTAGCCTGAGGTGCCGGATCTGAAATTTCTATCCAGAGCACATCGTACCTTTTTTCAGCCTGAGTTGTGGCCATTTAATCCCATGAGAATGGTGTCCGGAAGAGCTACCTCTCAACTACCGCTGCCTCGTTTTACACTTCACCGCGCCGTGCCGCTCATCTCCCAGATTTGATATTTTCATCTACATAGTATATCAAGGGAACACGTACATAATGGCTTTCACCCGAAAATAATTTGGCCGGTGAAGCACCTGGGAACAGCCTCAGGAAGAACTCCTTGCCAACTACCGCAGTGCCACTTCGCACATTGCCCCACTGCACCGCACACCCCTCAGACTTGATATTTCTACCTAAATTATATGGTGCAAACAATCATGTACATCGTGGCTTTCCCCGTATCAAGTGGTGGCGGTGGTGGTTGAAAACGGCATCAGGAAGAGCCGCTTCTCGGTTGCCGTTGGCCCATTTCTCACTCCGCCACACTGCGCCATTCATCTTTCAGATTGCACATTTGCATACACATTTCATATTTGAGGACTGCGGTATATGGCTTTTTTTCCAGACCAAATTTAGGCCTTTGAATTTCAGGAGAACAGCGTCACAAACACCGAATTACCAGCTGCCGTTGCGCCATTTCACCCTGCACGCATCGCCGTGCTGCACATCTTTTCCAGGCAACAAGGGTGTGAGCGGCAGCTAGTTCCCAACCGGCGTAGCCCAGTTGCGCAGTTTGCACGCAGTTCGCCGTATCGAGCTGCGCCTCACATCTTTATCATACAACATTTCAAACCATTTTCATTCCAGTTGTTTGTTCCAAATAAAATATGGAGTCGCAGAAGTTAAGCAAAGAGGGCAGCAATGAACACCCGCATGCCATCGAGGCTTGACGGCATAGTCGGTCACACTCTTACGGCGCGTCTGAGAGCACGAGCTGAACAAATCAAGCATGCGACTCCCAGGGCAATCAAAGACAAAATAAATGCGAGTTGGTCAAACCATCCCCAGCGGTCGGCTGGTGTGGAAAGGTAGGAAATGGGGAATATGAGGTGTTGGCAGTGTAAAGGCAAGCAGAGACGGGTGCGAAGAAGAAATAGAACAATATGAGAGGGTGAACGACGAGGGACAAGGCGAGAGCGAGCATCGAGATGGCGGCGAAGGGCTAAGACGGCATATGGAATCTGAGGCGAAAACAC